GGCTTTTGAGACAAGGTCTCTCTATGTGGCTCTGGCTGTCCTGTAACTTGCTATGGAAACCAGGCTAGCCTTGAACTCAGGATGACCCACCAACCTCCACCTCCTGGGAGCAGGGATTAAAGGTGTACAGCGCCACCACTCCTGGCAAATAGTACTTTCTTCATTTCCCCCTCTGGTAGCTTGTCTCCTCTGAAAGTCTGTCCAATCAGAGCTTCTGACCACCTTTTGGCTTTTTGTGTCCTGTTCCTTCTGCGGGAGCAATGACTCTTTTAGGCCTTACCATTGCTCAGAGGTTGGGGAAATTTTGCCCATCATATGGGAGATTATATTTATACTATTGAAGTCCTATCCTACTGAAGACAAGACAGCCCATTTACACTATATAAGGTGGTAAAGTGCTAACGGCAAGGTAACAGCACAGAAAATCAGTTATAGTGAAGAATAAGTTAGCTTGTGACAGCAACTACTTATGAAGAAGTTAGATCTTCTATTATTTGAGTCCTGAAAAACTTTCTCTGGTGTATCCATTCAGAAACAGCATCCAGTAGGAGGCCCATGGAGAGGGAGAGCAGTGGCCACTGGCTACAGCCTCAGCACCTCTGGAAAGGACTAAGTACAAAAAAATCACCGTATGCATTTCTTTATCTTCTGGAGAACAGGGGGGCATCTAGCATAACAGCAAGAAATAAACTCTCTCCTCTCCATATCCCTAGGCTATCACTCAAAAACCCAGATTCCCTCAGCCCTCTGATTATACACAATGTTATTCTGTTACCATTCAGAAACATTGTTTTTAAGAACACAAGGCATGGGGGCTGGAGAGATGGCTCAGAGGTTAAGAGCACTGGCTGCTCTTCCAGAGGTCCTGAGTTCAATTCCCAGCAACCACATGGTGGCTCACAAGCATCCGTAATGAGATCTGGTGCCCTCTTCTGGCCTGCAGGGATACATGGAAGCAGAATGTTGTATACATAATAAATAAAATCTTAAAAAAAATTATATATATAAAAAAAAGAACACAAGGCATATACCTCCAAAGAAAGAAAGCCTGATCTCTAAGTTCTCAAGACAGTTGCGACTAGACAAGGGACAACCAAAACAGTCCCAGGAGCCCCTGGGCCTGGTGGCAGTGACTAGGGCTAGACTTCTATGTCACTGCTACTTGTAAGGACACTTTAGAGCAGTGGTTCTCAGCCCTCCTACCACTGTGACCCTTTAATACAGTTCCTCATGCTGTGGTGAACCCCAACCATAACATGATTTTTGTTGCTACTTCATAATTTTGCTACTGTTATGAATTATAATGAAATATCTGTGTTTTCTGCTGGTCTTAGGCAAACCCTATGAAAGGGTTGTTCCACCTGAGACCACAGGTTGAGAACTGCTGCTTTAGACCCTTGTTTTTTCATCCACAAAAGGGATATTCTACTGGACTCGGGGAAGTGACACCAGGGAGCCAACTGATAAATTAGCTTACGAGAGTGACAACAGGAAACATGACAAAGAACTCAGACCATAATGAACAAATACTCAAGAAACAAAATACGTGACAGTCATTAGAACTGAGGTAACAGTTAGTTCAAGACTGCTATGGAGCCGAGCATTGGTGGCGCACGCCTTTAGTCCCAGCACTCGGGAGGCAGAGACAGGAAGATCTCTGTGAGTTCGAGGCCAGCCCGCTCTTCAGAGCGAGTGCCAGTACAGCCTCCAAAGCCACACAGAGAAACCCTGTCTTGAAAAACAAACAAACAAACAAACAAAGACTGCTATGGTGAGATCTTTAAGTTCCCAGTTCCTGCCTTACCCTCTTCCACCCATCAGGAAGGCAGAGTAGGAGGCAGAAAGCAAGTTTCAGGTACTAGTCCTACCACACACCTGCTGAGTGAACCTGGACAGACTCCTCACTCCCTGTGAGGCAGAGTCTTCTTAGGAGGAGCCACACTAAACCAAATCATTTCTAAACGGACAGGCTTCCCACCCGTCCTCCCTCAGCTGCCTGTTCTGAGATCCTTACGTTGCTCCCTAGTCAGTAAGAGGTCTCTTATCATTTCATGTGAATATGAGCAGGCTCCCAGACTGGGCCCCTATCTGCCACCACCCCCACCCCCAACTTACTGTTAGCACCAAGGCAATATTTTCAGAATGCAGTTTTTGTACCAATACCCAGTGGCTCCGATCATGCAATAACTCCTAACTTCTGTCAAGCGCACTCTTCTTGGCGTCTTTCCCAATGTCACTCATTTGCCCTGCAGCTTCCAAAGCATAGCCCACTGTGGGCCAACTCGTCTAGCACAGCCCCGGCCTGAGCCCCTCTCCTAACAACACTCATTCCTGCTTCCGCTCCCTCATTCACCGCCACACTGATGGCATACCTCTCCTAGGCAGCCTTTCATCTAGCCCCGGGCTCTTTTTTTTCCTACTGCAGTGAATGGTCAGAATCACCCAAATTTCAGACATGACTCTTTGAGATCAAAACAGACATCACTGTACTATTCTCTTAGCATTTGTCATAGCCTTCAGCCCTGGGGTGTGGTTTGATGTAGGAGCAGGTACCCAATATGCTGACCTCATCAAGTTAAAGACCTCCAGTGTCACTGGTCCTGTTACTGCCTGCTTTGTACCTCAGGGATACCAAACCTAGGGATGTTCCTTACTGTCAACCCTACTGCTTCTTGGTCTACATCAATTTTGTCTAATTCATGTCCAAAGGGACTATAAAGAAACACAAGTCTCTGTTGTGGAGAAGCCTATGAAATAACTGGAAACATAAAAAAAGGTAAACTTGAAAAGAAAATTAATGTAAAGTAGGTTTGAATGTACCCTACAGAGCCTTACAGGATACCACATCTCACACTGTTATCTATTCATTTTCTTCCTAATTAAATATAATATTTACATACCCTTTTAACAGTGGCACCATCAACTAGAAGAAACACAATTGCATACCAAGAAGGGACTAAAGAATGGTTTATGGAATACTGTGAAGTACCACACAACAGCCCAAACTAATGATCATGAATGTCAAAGACAGCAAGCTTACAACCTTCCAGAGGGTCATGAAAATGACAAAGACATAAACAGCTACATTACTTATAAGCAATTCAGTATACCAGGTTCCTTTACTAGCCTCCAAGGGTGCATTCAGCCTGTTATTAATGGGCTGACACAAGGGGCTTGTACAATTTGGGAGTAGTGCTCATGCCTTTGTTTTCATGAGGTCCCCAATTCAGGCTCTCAGAAGATATGTGGGTGGCTTTGAAGAACTCCAGGGTACACACTGATCAGGTCATCAAGAACATCTGTGCTTGCCTACAGAGTAAGAAACATATGATTGAGGCCCAGGACAGGGCCAAGTTCAAGTTCCCAGGCCACCAAAAGATCTACATCTCAAAGTGGGCCTTTATCAAGTTTAATTCAAATGAATTAGAAGGTATGATATCTGAGAAGCAGCCCATCTCTGATGATTGTACCCTGGACAAGCAGCAGGCCCTGCACTCCCGAGAGCTTCAACTGTGCTGTAGCGTGCTCTAATGATGCTCATCAACAATCTCCCCCTCCCTCCAGACACAATAAAGAAAATTACAAGGGTTCTCGTAGTGGTGCTGAGACAGGAAGCAGATACAGAGAAATGGAGTAGAGAGACACCACAGCAGGAAGCAGTAAGGAATTCTTAACAAACTTGTTCACTTGACACTATTTCAGAGAAATAAGTAAGAAAAACAAGCTGTACTATGAACCAAATTTCTTTCATTAAAAAAAAGGGGGCGGGGGAATGGCCCAGTGGTTAAGAGAATAGGATGCTCTTGCAAAGGACCTGGGTGCATTTCCAAGCACCCACAAAGCAGCTCACACTGTAACTGCAGCCCAGGGGAATCTGATGCCATCTCCTGACCTCCATTGGCCAAGCAAGCAAGCAATGCATACACTGAAAAACAAACAAACAAACAAACAACAACAACAAAAAACAATTCAGGCATGGGGTGGGGGGTGGTGAGAGCGCGGCAGTGTTGTGCAGTTTTAATTCCAGCATTTGGGAGGCAAAGGCAGGCCGGATCTCCGTGAGTTAGAAGCCAGCCTGGTCTACAGAGCTAGTTCCAGGACAGCCAGGGCTGTTACACAGAAAAACCCTGTTTCAAAAAACAAAACAATACACAACAAACACAAAGCAAAGAAAAAGGGAGAGGAGGGCTGGAGGAATGACTCTGGTTAAGAGCACTGGCTGCTCTTCAAGAGGATCTGAGTTCGATTCCTAGCAAACACATGGTGGTTCATAACCATCTGTAACTCCAGAGGTAGGAGAAGACAGGAGCAAAATAGTATTTTCTGGGAGCAGTAAGAACCACTGTATTCCTGAACTCACAGCACAAGAGCAACTAGTCAACATTCTAGGACGGGCCCATGAAACCCCTACTCCTAACTGAGGAGCTATGAAAGTCAGTGTTCTTTAAGGGTATGGCCCCGCTCCAGTGGATGACCCCATATCCATAAATAATATAAGCAACACAAATTGGACTTGAGGGGCATTATTAAAAGGGGAAGAAGGGCCTGGTGGTGGTGGCGCACGCCTTTGAACCCAACACTCGGGAGGTAGAAGTAGGTGGATCTCTGTGAGTTTGAGGCCAGCTTGGTCTTCAAAGAGAGTTCCAGGATTAGCCTCCAAACCTACAGAGAAACCCTGTTTCCAAAAACCACAAAAAACCAAAAACAAACAAACAAACAAAAAACCCAAAAAACAAAAAACAAAAAAAAAGGGAAGAAGGTTTATAAGGCAAGATGGGGTGGATCTGGGAGGAACGGGATTATTTATGATCAAACATATTGTATTAAATTCACAAAGAATTCATTAAAAACATAATACCAAACAATAATAAAAGAAAAAAGCAACATGCCTAGATGGAGATGTTGTTTGACTCTGAATCCTTTGCTTTTGTCTCCATGTCCCCACCCATGTTACCACATCAGTGGACATCGATATACAAGATCAAAACATCTCCAAATGGCACCAAGCTTCTGCCCTACAAGGCTCTGGGGAAGCATTAGGGCTGGCTCTTTGGGCACACCTACCTTCCAGTGATCCTCCGGATCAGCAGGGAGTCTGGAATGCTGAATTCAATCACCGAATCAAGCTTCTCTTTCCTCTTCTCCATGAGGTCATCAAGCTGCAAAAGATTGTGGGACCCACCAAAGCTCAATCAGCCTTCTGCTTGACAAGCTCGTCTCCTTCAAAGTAATTCATATAAAAGGCCAGCACCTGCCTTCACACAACAACGACGCAAACACTACCTACCATTTCAGCCTGCCTCACAGTCCGAGGGAAGCCATCTAGAAGAAAGCCGTTTCTGCATGAAGGACTCTCCAAATTCTTCTCAATGAGCTCCACGACCATTTCATCACTCACCTACAAGAAAAGAGCTTTGGGTTCAAATCTGTCAACTAGGTGATATATTCCAAATACAAGCTCCAAGGTTGCTTGGTGTCAGTATGTCTGAGCCTGTATTGAACTATTGTGAAAGGAATGTGTTAGAGCAAAGCTACGCACCTTACAGAGGCAGAGAGACAGTGAACAGGCATGCATACTCACTCAAGCAAGGTGGCCAAGCAAGTAAAAGTGTGTTCCACTCATGTCTGGTTACCTAGAGTTCAGTGCTGAGCCCAAGTAAAGGTAAAAGATGAGAAGTGGTAGCTCCAAGCATGTACCACGGTATGTGTGCCCTCCCTCCCCATCATGCATACACAGTAAAACATTTAATACAGCTTTGGAGATCAGGCCTTCAATACATGGACTTCAAGGGGGAAGGGTACATTTAACACCCAAACCATAATGGAGGCACCCCACTTTTCCTCTGCTTCTGCTTCTGTGGAGTCAAGCTGACTTGCTGTTTAGAGACCAACCTTGCACTGCAACTGAGCTTAGACAGTATTTCCTTCTTGGTTTCTCTTAGGGATTTATCAAGGTGGTGCAAAGCTGACCAGTACAGACTCCATCTGTAACACTCACTTCCATAATTCTCCAGTGCCCAGACAGGTTCCTCCCCTTGAAACTCTAATATGTTCCAATAAACTGGGTAAGGGAAGTGGGATCCATAGCCCAGCAAGACAGCTCCATGTCTTAGGTCCTATGGGCCTCTTCTGCCAGTAGCTGTTTAACCATCACATAACAGCTTTTCAGCAACAAGCTGTCCTCAAGATGATGAGGGTCCATGGCAGAGACATCACCCGAGAACTGGGATAGTAGTTTGACTAGAAAGTAGGGATGTACCAATTATCCTTGATTCACAAATTCATTAGACTAACAATATCACAATTGATATGTTGGCTTGATTATTTATCTGGGCTATCTAAGATAAGAAAAAAAATTGCACTGAATTGGCAATATTGGATCAGAAATGAGGAACCGAAAAACTACCACAATGTAGTCTAAGCCTCTCCAAAAAGATCCCACCAAGTATCTTTCCCAGCATTAAAATATCTTTTCTTTAAAGAGAGAAAAGTTCCCACCTATATTATAGTAAAGGCTGTCTATCTTACCAGCTAAAACTTTTATCTTCAGAACCAGTTATGAAGTTATGGACAAAGTATAAACTCTGCAACTGATTGAAGGCTTGGAGATAAGCAATCTCATTGCCACATCCCAGTTTTCTCTCACTCAGACTTTTCTGCCAAAACCCAAAGTCCAAAATGTCTACCTTTCTGGTTTGATTCATGGCCTCACTGACATAAAGGGAAAGCTAAAGAGGACTGTATGGACAGACAGGTTGTGGTACCACCCAATACTGCTCTAGTATCTGCAGGCCTAACATGAGCTAACCTGGGGATAAAAACAAAGTTCAGATTTCAGCCAAGCAACAGATAGAGACACAGACAGGGATCAGAGAAACCACTTGTGGTTGTCCATGCCTACAATTTCAACACTCGGGAGGCCAGCCTGGGACACCTGTGCCAGGCCAACCAGATAATCATGGCAAATCTTGCTTCAAAAACAAAAACAGAGGTGATGCGATGGCTCAATTGGGTAGCAGTGCTTGCCATCAAAGCCTGACAACCTGAACTAGAACTCAGGACCCACATGGTGGAAGAAGACAGCTGACTTCCAAAAGTTGTCTTCTGACCTCCCCATGAATGCTATGGCAGGCAAATGCACATACTGACAGAATATAATTTAGAAAATTAAAAACAAGAACAAAACAAAGGATCAGGGGAACTCCAATATGGCTCACGGGTCTAGCACTTGCCTACTGTGTTCAAGAACAAAATGACTTCTGAAAGTATAAGCAGAAGTCAGGTTCTAGAATAAATATTAGATCTTGCCCTAAGCAAAGATTCAGTCAATTCACTGTATTAGTCAAATCAAGCCAACTGGCTCAATACATAGGATTACTTTCCCACAACTACCAAGTAACTCCCTTGTTAGAAATACAGAGGACTGGGCAGGAGAGATGGCTCAGCGGTTAAAAGCTAGGCTCACAATCAAAAACATAAGAAATACAGAGCTGTGAGCCACAAAAGAGCTTTAAAACATTTCTGTGGTCTCCCGAATCATCTTTTGCATACATCCTAGAGTCTTTCTTATCCTAGGAACAGCACTTTCATTTTGTTATATTTAATTTGGGTGAATTACATAAAGTATTATAAAGCATCTTCAAGAATAATGTGAACACATGAGAAGGGCTGGAGGAAAGGAAGGGAATGGGGAGTGATATAATTATATATAGATACACATGTGTGAGTACATATATACTGTGTGTTTCTTTGTTTTGAAAGGTCTCACTGTATAGTCCTGGCTGACCTGAAACTCAAATTCAGAGACCCGCCTGCTTGCTTCTCAGTAATGGGATTAAAGGTGTGTGCGTCTGGCTGGTGCACGTACAAACACACCCATAACCCCAAAATTTAAAAAAAATTATTATTTAATGTTTATGCATGTTTTATGTATGTTTATGCACCATGAGCATGCCTGGTGCCTGCTGAGGTCAGAAGAAGGTGCTGGATCTCAGAGAACTGGAGTTACAGATAGTTATGAGCTACTGGGTGGGTGTTGATAATGGAATGTAGGTCTCCTGAAAGAGCAGTAAGTGCTTTTAACTACTGAGCCATCTCTCCAGTCCTTATAATTTTACTTTAATTAAAAAAAAAAAAAGAAAAAAGAAAACCATGAAGAGGGCTAGCAAGATCGTTTTATTAAAAAAGTGCCTGCCCCCACACACAAAGTAATAAAATTATACAAATAAATTGTGATGAGGGGACTGGAGAGATGGCTCAGAGGTTAAGAGCACTGACTGCTCTTCAAGGGGTCCTGAGTTTAATCCCCAGCAACCACATGGTGGCTCACAACCATCTGGTTGTGAGATCTGGTGCCCTCTTCTGGCCTGCATGGATATATGCAGACAGAACACTGTATATATAATAAATAAATCTTTAAAAAAATAAATTGTGATGAAATAATAATAATATATTCAGAATAAACCAAATAATGTGCTCTGTTCAAAGTTCCTACTACCTGCCAGTCTGTTAGAAACATCTCCACAAAGGACTACCTCAGAAGTCTTTCTAGGGTGGTAGAAATGTTATGTTTGCATTGGCTGTTGAAGGCTTCAAGAGTGTCTACAATGAATAAGGAAGGAAATGTTTAATGAAGTCAAAACCAAGTAGCCACATGCAGCTGGGGGCCACCTTTCTGGACACAGCAGCACTCACAGGTGTAACCAAACCTACCAGTTTCCCAGCATCCATCGTGGCCTTCAGCTTTTTCCCCAGCTCAGAACCTGAAGCTACCATGGCTCTCAGCATGTCCCCAGTGGCCAAATGGCAGACACAGAAGTTTTCAGCCAATCTGGGTGCCTGTGGAGGCAAAGACAAAAACCAAGAAGGAGTTAACACTGTAAGCCCTGAGAATGAACCTGGCCCTTACTGGCTGTGTGAGCTTAGCCAAATGTCTACTTCTTTGGTTGTAACAGGAATGCATCGTACCTTGTTTTATAATGTAAAGCAGTTACAGGGTTATTGTAAGAATCGTATGAATACATAATATTGCATGTAAAGTACTGGGAATATACTTAGCACTCAGGAAGCTATTATAAATGGTATGCTGTGGCCACTAGGCCTGGCAGCTGGGGCAGGCAAGGCAGACCTGCTGCAGTATCTTGGCTAAATTGTTCACTCACAGAGCCAGAGCAGTCTCCACATCTGTTTAACATGAAGCACACGATCCACTCAGAAAGTGGCTGTGATGCGTAATAACACACGCAGGCTGAGCATTTCTGCAGTGGTCACCTGGAGACCAGTTCTAGGAGGTGTTCTGGTGGGTTTAGTGAGAGGGTTTTACTATGTAGCTCAGTCTGGCCTCATGATCGCCATCCCCAGCCTCCTAAGGGGCTAGGATTACAGACAGGTGTCTGCCACCACTGGCTCAACTTTTGGCTAAGAGTGTGGGCTCAAGTCAACCCCCAGTACCTCAATCCTCACTGTATGGCTGGAGGAGCTGCTTCTCCTTTCTAGGTTTGAAACCTCTAAGTAAAACGTCAATAATACCATCTCACTGAGCCCATAAGGACGCTATACAGACCCGACACATGCAAAGTGCAGCACATAGATCCTCTGTGAGCATTAGCTGTTATAGCAACCTCTGCCCTAGCTCTGTTTACTCAGATGGGAAGGAAATATTCATTCATGCCTCTTCCATGAACCCTGGAGCCAAGGAAACAGAGCAATAGGAGACACAGATCCCAAAGCTCACAGACTGTGCTGGACTAGACAGGTCCCCTATCACCACGTTTAGCTTTTCCCACAACCACATCAAACAAATGTGCATCTCAGAGTCTGGTGGACTTTAAATGGAAAAAGGTTAGGATACTCCAATATTGGTTCTGTATTCACAGATGCTCAGCTTTCTGTTGAGTTATTTCAGAAGATAAGTAACTGGGATCCCTGTTTAAATTAGTTCACTGGGTGTGCTCTTGGGCACAAAACAAAAATGATGGGGCTCAATGCAGGAAATTCTGGTTTGTGATTCACAGACTGATTCCACTGAGGTGAAGAAATCACTTCATAGGGAGGTGGGACCCAGTGAGAAAGTGTTAAGGATTGGACACCGGAAAAATGAAGGCCAGCAACCAATGACAATGGAAAGCTGGCTGCACTGTGGGTGGACACACCCCCAGGGATCAGAGCTCCCCACCAATCTACCCCTCGTTTCTTAAAGTTAATTTGAGTGGACAAATCATAGAAGCTGGGGTCAAAACTCCCGAGAAAAGCTGTACTGGGCACTCAAGTATTCAGCTATTACTATTATCTTGTAGTGGTGGGCTGCTCACACTCCTTTCCAGCGACTGACTCTACAACTGCATGAAGAACACACCAGCAGGGAAGATGTGGCCAGGTGTGAGACTCTGCCTTTGCTTCCTGCTGGTCCTGGGGGAGATACTATAGACTATGAAGAATATGGATGGGTTCAAATCTTGTCTAAGGCACTCAACTACTGTGTGATATGTGGCTGGGGGGGGGGGAGTTCGGCTGGACTGGAAAAGCACTTGCTCTGTAAGGACAATGGCCTTAGCTTTATCTCCAGAAACCATGTTTTAAAAAAAGCTGGGTAGAGTGAGGTGATTCATGCTAATGAGCCCAGCCAGCACTGGGGAGGCGGAGACAGACAGATGCCTGAACTCACTGGCCCCTAGTCTAAACTACCTGATGAGCACTAGGCCAGTGAGATATCCTGCCTTAAAAAAAAAAAAAAGAAAAAGAAAAGAAAAGGGTGCCCACTGAGTCATCTCCCAGCCCAGAAATTTACTTCAGCCATGCAGACATAAATCATGTAATATGGAATTATACAGGTACAAGAGGAAGTGGTGAGAAGAAAATAAACATCACTGAGCAGGTCCTAGGCATGACCAGGTCAGGAGTGTGGTCAGCTGCTAACAGGGACCAGGCATTCTATGCCTTTGTGTGTGTGTGTGTGTGTGTGTGTGTGTGTGTGTGTCCATGAAGGGATCACCCAGAGCAGAAATGCAATCAGCTACAAGTGACTCCTGATACTGGAACAGAGGCCCACTGCTATCAGAAAAATGAGTTGTAATTTATTGCTTTTTAAATTCCATAACTAAAAACATTCCATAGTCAACCCATTAAGCACATCACTGGGTAAGCAAATAGGGGATGGAAAGTTTTTCTCTACACACAAACTAAGAACCAGCTGTGGTGCAAGCTTGGAGTCTCACACTTCGGTTGAAGCAGGGCCACTGTTGAGTTTCAGGCCAGCCTGGGCTACCTGCTGAAACCCTGTCTCAAAAAAACAAGAGGGAGGGAGTGCAGGGAAAGAGAAGAAAAAGAGATATTTCAGCCAAGGAATGGCACAGGAGTTACATAATCAGAAGACACCATTTTACCATCAATAATTAATTACTAGACTTAGGCAACTGACAGCAGCTGTTCCAAACCCGTCGGAAACAAACAATATATTGAAAGTGTCTGACTGAAGGACAGAACGTGACTGCACCTGGGTAGCCAGGCCGAGAAACAGAATCTGATAAAGTGGATGCAGCAAACTAAATATCTGCAGGAAATGGAAGAGAGGAGGATGTTAAACACACTCAAGGAATATGAATCGAAAACTCCTAGAAAGGGGACAATATTCTCGGGACAAGCTAGTTTCTTCTACACATAAGCGTGGGAAACTATAGCATAAAAAAAGAGGAACAGATGGCTCAGCAGGTAAATACACCAAGCCTGAGGACTTGAGCTCAATTCCAGGGACCCATACAGTAGAAGGAGACAAATGACTCTGAAAGTTGTCCTCTGACTCCACATGTACACTCATAGACACCCCCTCTCCCCACACACACAATGGGTAATCTTTTTTTTAAAGATGAAAAAAAAAAAAAAGCCTCAAAATTACCACGTGTGAGACTGATAGAAATTTGGACATTAACTATTGAAATCTGTTAAATCTTTAGGGGATACTGTACTTATGTATTTTTAAAATTTGTTTTAGAGATTCTAAAATATATTAGAAAAATGTTATGGTGCCTGGAGCTGCTTTACCATAATTTGCAGGGAGAACGGATGGGGAGGCAATGGCTGCCATCAGCTGCCGGTTACTGGAGCTCATGGCATCACTCCTTTGCTTCTTGTGGTACTGAGGAGTGAACACAGCGAGGTAAATGAACTACTAGCAACACATTCCCAGCCCTGTTGTTCTGAGGCAAGGAGGATGCCTAGGCTGACATCATTCTTAGCCCAGGCAGGACTTGTTGTTTCAGCCTCCCTCACAGCTGAGATTACAGGCTTTCACCTGTACCCTTATGTGTATTTAAAACTTACAGTGACAAGTTTGGGTGTGTGGGGTGAATGCTCCAGGCTGCCAATTTGCAGTCTCTGTGTAAACTTTTGTTCAATGCTATAAAGCTACAACCACCAATAATTTTATGGTTCCCGATACGGAAAGGGAGGAGGATGGAGGTTAAGTGATCGTTGTATATTTTCTGAAGCCCTAGTTCTTTGTTTTGTGATATTGTTTTTGGACACGGTCTCACTCACCAGGCCAGCCTCAAACTTTAGCCAGGCTTCAAACTTGGCCTTAAGTCTCTGGGATTACACAGGTATGAGCTGCCACTCAAGTGGCTTTCTTTCCCCTTCCTTCCTTCCCTTCTTTCTTCCTTCCTTTCTTTCTCTCTCTCTCTCTCTCTTTTTTTTTTTTTTTGAGACAGGTTTTTCTTAGCCCTGGCTGTACTGGAACTCACTATGTGGACCTTGAACTGGCCTTGAACTCACAGAGAGCTGCCTGCTTCTCCCTCCTGAATGCTGGGATTAAAGGCATGCAACCATTAGGAACTCAGCTTTAAAGCCAAACTTTTAATCACTTTGAAAAGCCTTCTCGAACCAACTCCCACCATTCTCCTATCTCCTTCAACCAGCTCATCAGTGAAATGTCCTACAAACCCGAATAAATCAGCCTGGCAATAAACTACATCAGAGAGGGGCGCAGAGAGAGGTGCTCCCGACGAGTCAGCATTCACTGCGTACCTGCAATGTGTCACCCCAGAAACTGGGAATGTATGGGTGAGCCCAACAGAAAGACTTGTTAGTTTTTCATTTTCCAGGTGAAGTTAACAAGTTACACAGCTCACTAGACTATAAAGCCCAACTCAGCCCTGCACGAGTCCTCCCATTTCACTATTCAAACAGTCAACTTCAATATAAACTAAAAATAAATAAAAAAAAAAAAAAGTCACATACGAGCCGTTCTGTCCATTCTCAGTAACTAGCAGTAGAAGCTGTCCACATCCAAGATTAAACACTCTTAAGACTTCGGATTACCTAATAACTGAGAGTGATAGCAACAGAAATAAAGAGATGTCAACATCACTGAATACAGGCAGTGGTGGAACCTCAAAAAAAAAGGACCTGGAAGCTGACAGCGAGAGAAGGTTCGAGACCTACAACCCAGAGGCAGAGGTAACGTGAAATGAACTAAGCCTTCGAGACCTCCTTTCTCCTGGTCCATCTCCAGCAATTCCATCAAGTGTCAGGTGATGCACTGGGTGTCACGGGGGTCCCAACAGTGAGCAAGATGACCATCTGCTGGCCAGAACTTTGAGAACTTGGCAAACGGGACAGTTGACATGGCTGAGCAGGTAAAGTAGCTTGCCATCAAGTCTGATGACCTCAGTTGGATCTCTGGGCTCCTCCAGCAAGTTGTCCTCTGACCTCCACATATGCACCATGGCATGCATGGTTATCTTTAAAAAATAACAATAAACTCAGTAGTGCTAGCAAGCCTGAGAACAGAACAGTGCCTATTTGCTTGAGAACCCTGACTTGAAAGAATTCCCTCTTTAGAGGTTAAAGATCAGCAAGGTCCCACCGCAGGGACGCAGGGGTGAGAAATGGGAGGGGGATGTTACACACTGGGCAAGAAAGTGGCATCATGCGAGCTTCCAAATCCTAAGTGAGATCATAAATCCCATCCCTGACCTATGGCCCAGATGCCAAGTGAGGCCCTGCAGTGGGGCAGAAGGCAACTCCAATCCTCTGGAGGTAAACGACTCCATGAAACCGATTTCACTGACTTTGGAAAGCCACTGGATCTCTGGGCCTGTTGTCCTACCTGTTGACCCAGTCAGTATGTTATCGTCCCAAAGATCGCTCAACTCATATTAAGAGTTATCTTGTGCTGCCCATGATCACTCCTTGAGCCACTCACAACCCGCATGGCTCCCGCGGGTTATAAGCCCGACCAACATACCCACCTCCAGCTTTCGGGCGAACTGGAAGGGTTTTCTCCCATCCCCCTAACACCGGTGCCTCTTACAGATCCTGCCTCACTCTTGGCAGCACGCCGCGATCAGCACACGCCAGCTCCCACTCTGCCCCACGTGTTGGACAGACTTCCTTACCCCTAGTTATTAATCATTAAAAATAAAAAGTTCTACCGCCTTGTGTGTGGAGATCGTCCCTGACTCGGGACAATGCGCTCCCAACTCGGAGGGCGTCCTGGCCACAAAGCTTTTCGTTACTCAGGCCTGTGATCCGGGGCTTCAGTCGTGGGGATCGAACTATACCATTCACGATTTTCAGCTAACAGCCCCTGGATCCCCTTAGCCTGGGTTCCCCCAGGAACCCCGACCGCACCTCAGCCTCGTCCTCCGGCTGGGACCGTCCCCTCAACACCGCGCCACGGCCCGAGAGCCCGCGAGGGTCCGCAGGCCAGGGCTTACTGGCCAGCTCCCGAGCGGGAAAGCAGCTTCCGGCTCCCCGACCGCCCTGACCTTGTAGCTCCGCGGGATCCGCCGCCGAGCGTGGAGCGGACACTCACCTGGGTCCCCTTGCCAGCCCCGGGCGGCCCCAGCAGCACCGCCCGGATACCCTTCCGACTCTCGGGTTCGGGAGCCAGCGAGCTGGGAGCCATGTCTGCCAAAGTCTCACTCCGCCAGCCGCCAGCACACCCCACCGCACGGTGCCTCTAGCGCTTCCAGGCCAGCGCACAGACCACTCCGGGCTCGCACTGGCCGCTCGCCGCGTCCGTCAGCCCTCTACGCCCGCCCCCGAGCCTGACGGATGCTTGTGTACACCAATCGTACCACGAACTTGAGGGTTCCAGTTTCTGATTGGGCAGAATAGTTGAGGGAGGGAGGAAGAGGTGGGCCAGCCTGGGAAGAGTGAGGCGGAGAGCGCGTGGAGTGGGAGGGAAGAAAGGAAGCCCAAGCCCCGAGCCGCAGGAAAGTTCCAGTTTGGCGTTTGACAGTTAATGACTTCAGAGGCTCTGTTTTGAGTCCTGTGAAATTGCCTGTGGGAGTGTAAGTGGGGAAAATCACTCTTAGAAAACAAATTGGCAACAAGGCTTCTCATACCCTTTGGGCCAATAATTCCACTTCCAGGAATTAAAAGGACCTAACCCAGGAGTATGTGATGATTTTCTAACAAAGATGTTGATCGCCTTATTATAACATCCCCAGAGCTCAACACTGAAAAGTAAATAGCTCAAATGTCCAACAGTAAGATTGGTTAAATAAATTACAACAAATTTATATTCTGGGACCCCCCCCAGCACTGTTTAATCATAAGGCCAAATTGCCCACCCATACAAAATCGCAGCAGTTATAAGAAAGCCCAGTTTAGTTTGACCCTTTCAAGTGCAGACTTGTGGAGTGTGGTTAGGGGAACATCTCCCCTAAAAGCCGTCCCTGTAAAAAGTAGTTCAATGAATTCTACAATAACCTGGTGTGTAGACTTTAGCTATTTGGGAGGATCACACTTAAAGCTTGTCTAGGCTACATGGTGAATTCAAGTCCAGCCTGGGCAATTTCATGAGACCTTGTCTCAAAATGAAAAGGAAGAGGCCTGGGGCTGTAGTACAGACAGAGGGGTTTCTGGGCTCACTCCCCAGGACTTTGGACTGCAAACAAAATAACACACACACACACACACACACACACACACACACACACACACACACACACCAAAATCACCCTGGCTGAAGTCAGGTAAAAAGGGTTTTTATGCAGAGAGATGAGTCTGTTTTTGACAAGGAAATGTCTCCAACTTTTTGCTGTGTCAAAGTTTCATCCTGTCCCAAAGGACCCTTTCTCAACCTTCTGTGCAAATGTGATTAGGAAACCATTGCTTCCCCACAGACACAAAGCAACCAATTTCTATATCCTAGTGGTAAATTTGCTGCCTCTTTGGCCACTTTAATTCCTGGACTGCAACAGGCTGGCTAGACAGCTCAGCTAATAAAGACATTTACCACCAAAGCCTAAGGACCAGCGTTTGAGTCCAAAGACCCTAAAAATGGAAGGAGAGAACCAACTCCCATAGATTGTCCTCTGACTTCCACATGTGTGCCGTGGCACATGTAAGTCTTCACGTGCACACATGCACACATATACATAAAATATAGTAAGTTAATAAATCTAAAGAAAAAAAGAAGTCAGGCGGTGGTGGCCCACATCTTTAATCTCAGCATTCAGGAGGCAGAGGCAGGTGGATCTCTGTGAGTTCCAGGCCAGCCTGGTCTACAAAGCCAGTTCCAGGACAGCCAGGGCTACACAGAGAAACCCTATTTCAAACACTACCACCACCACCCACCCAAAAAAGGAAAAAAAAGAAAAAAAGAGAGAGATGCTAACATTCATTCTTCTTGCTCATCTTGAGCTTTCATGGGAGTCTGCTTGATCTTGTTGGATTCTCTTAGTGGCCTTGAAGGAAGCAGCAGTTATTGAGTCATTTTTAAGAGAGGAATATGAAATCTAGAGGCAGGTAGTGTCAGCTCAAAGTTACATAGTCACAGGATTACAAGTAAGACTGTCAAACAGGGATGGGGCAATAGAACCTACCACTCAAGCATGAGGACCTGAGCGTTTGTCTGTAATCCCAGCGCCGAGGAGGTAGAAATAGACAGATTCTTAGAGCTCACCCACCAGAAAGCCTAGTCTAATCAGTGAGCTCCAGATTCAGGGGACCACCTTGTCTCAAATGATAAGATGGAGGGGCTGGAGAGAAGACTCAGGGCTTAAGAAGACTTGTTGCTTTTGCAGAGGACCTGGGTTTGGCTCCCAACACCCACATGGTAACTCACAGCTGTCTGTACTTCCACTTCATAGGATCTGACTTCCAAAGGCACCAGGCACACACACAGTCCAATATATACATACATGCAGACAAAACGCTCACACTTATAAAGTAAAATAAACAAATCAAAAACCAAAGGGTGGAGAGAAATAGAGGAAGACAGTTGATGTCAACCTCCGGTCTCCACCAATGTGCATACACATGCATACCTACACTCATGTTAAAACATACATACACAACACACACACAAAGCACACATGCATGAACAAAACACACACACACACACACACACACACACACACACACACACACACACAGGGTCAGAGGCTGAAAGCCAGGTGTGGTGATGCATACTTGTGATTCTAGCATTTGGGAAGTGGAGGCAGAAATTCAAAGCCATTTTGAGCCACATAGCAAGTTCAAGTCCAGCCTGGGCTACATGAAAGCCTATCTCAACAACAATAACAACAACAACAGAACAAGCAAGCAAACAAATAAAAGGCTGGGGGTAACCAGGAGGTAACCCAGAAGGCACAGGACTTGTGGGAGCAAGCACCTTTTCTCTGGGGGAAGCTTCTGTGTAGCCAGAATTCCTTTTCATCATTCCCTTTCACTAGTGATGACAAATCCCTGTTATAATTCTGACCAGGCATGGGCTCCCTTAACCCCAGTAGGGAAAGCAGCTAAGACTACATATAAATAATACAAAATGTAAGGTTTGTTTGTTTAGTTTTTTTGAGACAGGGTTTCCTGGCTTTCCTGGAACTTGCTTTGTAGACCAGACTGGCCTTGAACTCAGAGATCTGCCTGCCTCTGCCTCCTGAGTGCTGGGGTTAAAGACATGTGCCACCATGCCTGACTCTGTTTGTTTATTTTTTATTTTACTTACTTACCTATCTATCATCTATCTATCTATCTATCTATCTATCTATCTATCTATCTATCTGGTCTCATGTGTCCCAGGCTGGCTTTTAACTGGCTATATAGCGAAGGTTGACCCTGAACTCTTGATGCGTTTGCCTTTACCTCTAGAATGCTGGGGCTACTGGCTTGTACTGCCGTGTCTGGTTTTTTGCAGTGCTGGGGTTTGAACCCAGGATTTCAGGCATGCTAAGCAAGCATTCTATCCATTGAATGGCATCTCCAGTTCTATTATAAAATAGTCTAGTCTTTGAGGCATAATAAGAACCATAAGAAAAAGCCCAAGAGAAGAAAGCAGTGTCTTATTCAAGTAATGACCCAACTATTAATTTTTAACAATAATTGCTCTTACTGTGGGCCAATCAGTAGGCTAAACAATTTGCGTGTATTATCTCATTCAGTTTTCACAGTCACCTGTGCATGCTGTAGCTACTTTATTATAAGCATATTTTAGATAAAACAAATTAAGACACAGTCTCGTACCACACCCAGGGTCACATGACTAGCCTGAGGCTGAGCAGAGAGTTGAGCTAAGGTCTGTTTGGTGCCAGGTAACAGACGTGGCGCTCACAGTCCAGCTGGTTCCAGCTAGAGTGATAATGGAGGACTGTGAAACAGAAAGACCTTGAAGAATGAAGAAGACTTGGCTTTAGGGCAGAAGACATTTCAGACCTCGAGAAGATTGGGAGGCAAGCCCCAGGAGCAGAAGAGACTTTTATTCAGTGAGCTTTGGAGAACTGGACTTTCTAGGGGCAGTAATGATCAGGTTCGGGTTAAATATCACCCACAGGACTAGAGTGGAGAGTGTAGGCAGAAATAATAGCCTTAATGCTGATTAGTTTTTGTCAGTGTGACACAAACTAGAGTCATCTTGCAGCAGGCGCCCAGACCTTAGCATAACTGACTCCATGATTACCGTCCAGGCTATAAAACTCAGCACATAGATGGCACCACCAGTCAAAATAAAACAAAGACCTAATCTCTCTCAGTCCCTAGTTTTGGGAAAGTCTCTAAATGTACTAACTTTGCATTTTCGTTTCTGTAGTTCTGCTTCTGGCTAAGGTTCTTGTTAACAGAAGTATGTCAATCTAGGACATGCTTTTTGTGGTTAAAAGCTCACCCTGAGAAATGCTTGGGGCTATACTGTGATTCCCCAGCACTCAGTGTAGTCACCAGCTGGCTAATAAAGACTTTCTATTGGCTTAAACCCATGTCTGAGCATTCTTCTCTGGTGGATCCCTACATTTCAGGAAGAGAGAACCCTAACTGAGGAACTGCTTTCATCCAATTGGCTTGTGGGCATGTCTATAGGGGCATTTTCTTAATTGCTAATTGCTTTAGGTCTAGCCAACCTACTGTGCTGGGGCTACCTTGAGCAGGTGGTCCTGGAATGTATAAGAAAGGTAGCTGAGCAAGTCCAGAGAACAAGCCAGTAAGCAGGCCCCACCCCTCTGCAGCCTCTGATTCAGTTCCTGCCTCTAGGTTCCTGCCTCAGTTCCTACCCTGCCTTTCCTCAGTGGAGGGCTGCAAGCCATAAGAAGAAATGGACCCTTTCTTCCTCAACTTGCTTTTGGTCAGTATTTTTATCACAACATCAAAGAAGCAAATCTATAGAACAGTCCACACGCCAATCCCCAGCACCTGGGTCAGGCTTGATTTTTGCTTCATAATACCCTTTGGACTTCTGACCTTCAAAACTGTGACACAAGGGGTTGGGTACCTCCAGTACCACATAAACCAGTATAGTGAGGTATATCTCTGATCACAGAACTGGTTAGTAGAAAAAAAGAAAACCAAACCAAAACAAAAGAAATGCATGAGCCTGTCTGTGCGCGTACATGCGCGCGCGCGCGCGCGCGCGCGCACACACACACACACACCGAGAGAGCATGTAACAAAATAAATCTATGTTATTCTACAAGCCACTCCATTTATGATATCTGTTACAGCAACAATAAGAAAGGCATACAACTTCTGAGAGTGTGAGTAGTAGAAACAGATTCTGGCC